GGGGTGGCTCTCCCCCGCAGCCGCGGCGGCCACCGCCCCCGCCCCCCCCCCCCCGACCGGCAGCAGCGGGAGCCACGTCTACGGACGGCGGCGGTGGCAGCAGCAGCAGCAGCAGCAGCCGCAACAAGCGCCCGGCCCCTGCCTCTCCCTCTAACGGAGACGACGGCGACAGCGGCGGAAGACGTCGACGTCGGAACCAAAGCAAGAGTGCCAGGGCGGACAGCCGAGAGGAAGAAAACGCCGCCAACACCGGTGCCGGTTCGGGCGGGAACGGGGACAAGGCGGGAGGGGAGGGCGCCGACGTCGGCAGCGGGGGCGGCGGCGGCGGCGGCGGCGGCGGTAGCAGTAAGAGGGCGCGCAGTAGCAAGGGGCGCAGCAGGTCTCGCCAGCGAGAAGCCGAGGCGAGCGAGAGGGAGGGGGAAGGGAAGGGTTCTTCCGGCCGCGCGAACAGCGTCTCGGACCGAAGGCAGGCGAAGCTGAAGGTAGGAGGAAAGCTGCCTGACAGCAGTATTTAGTCCTTGTACTCGAGGAGCAAAGACACTCCGCTGTCGTCTAACTCCTGCGCCCCCCCTTGTTCGCAGGCCCTTTGATTAGATTATGTTTCTTTTCCCGCTACTTAGAAGACTGACGTCTTTTCATTGGTTAGCCGGTTGGCGCGGTCGACTCTACATAGTTCCACACACAAACACACATCCGGAGACTGCGCGCGGTGCATGGAGTCGGAAGCGAGGGTGTTGTGGACTCTTGCGCGGGTTTCTGCAGACGCCCAAATGGTTGACGAGCACCAAACTCATCGGGCGACTTGAGTGTAGACCTCGCTTGCGCGCGGGGGGCGACCGTTATCAGTCGATTGATGCCAACACAAAAAGAATACCCGAGGTGCAATAACTGACACAGCAGTGAGCTCAGCACCAGCGGGAGCACTGGACCGCCGAGACAGACAGGCTGCATGCTGTTGAAGGGGCCACAGCTGTGGACCGACGCATGCGGTATAGTTATTGGTAACGTACAGTGGTGACCTGCGGTGCGCAGAGGGAACCGCGTCCCAAGGACAAAAAAGGACGACACGACCGACAAGGAATGTTACTCTTAAGCGAGGTGAAATGCTGCACAATGGCATAATGGTAGGCCGAGGGGACTCAATTTGCCGCGATCTGAGACAGATTGAGATTTTTGTTGTGTGCCCTTTCAGTGTCTGGCCGTACTTTTCGGGCCCCCCTCGGCCGTGTTTCGTGGAGTTTTCAACCCTTCCTGGATAAAATAGAAAAAAGCCTGGGAATACAGAGCAGGGCTGACCCCTACCACCCCCCCACCCACCCCCAAAACTCCTATCAGAGCTTCGGTTGTCTCTCTCTTCCACCGCTCCTCTCTTGCACAATTCTTCTCGATTTCAGCCTCGTGGTGAACCCCGTGTTCTTGGTGTACGCCGCATACCCCGTATGGCAAACCCATGCATACCCCCGGCGCACAGGAGCTGAAGGTCCTCGACGGCCGGAGGAAGGCGGCCGTGGCGGCGGGCGAGGCGCTCGCCAAGGAGGTCGAGAAGAACCGGATGGAGCAGGACGAGATAGCCATCCAATTCGACGCGGCGAAGCGGCTGCTGGCCTTGTATGACTCCAACTCGGACACCCCAGACGTCGCGATACTCCCATCCCCGCCCCCGCCCCCGCCCCCGCCTCCGCCCCCGGCGCAAGCGCCACGCGCGGAGTATTCCTCCCCGGCAGCTGCTGCGTCGCGCTCAGGGTCTTTTTCCGGCGCGGTGCGAGGGAGAGGTGGCGGCTCCGCCGCTGCGCGGGGTAGCAGGGTCTCGGGATCATCGCCGTCTCTTTCAGCGCCCGCGGCGCGAAGCAACGGGAAGGCATCCGCGCGCCGCGCCGCCGGCAGTGGCAGGAAAGAGGACAGCAGCAGCAGCAGCAGCAGCAGCAGCAGCGACAACGACGACGAGGACTACCCTCTGGGGAGCACAAGAGTCGGCCTGCCCGGTGGAGTGGGCGGCGAAGGTTTCGGGCTCATCACGAGCATGCCGCCGGCGGGCGGCGGCAGCGGCAGCGGCAGCGGCGGCAGCAGCGGCAGGAACGGCGCTAGCCGAAACGCGGTCGCGGCGGCGGGTGCGGCGGCGGCCAGCAGAAAGCCTCCGGCGAGCGTCGATGCGGCGGACGAGTTCCCGGCTCGGGTGCCGAGCGATGGGGCGGGCGCGGGTGCCGGGGAAGGGGCGCTTGATTCAGGCGGGACGGGACCTGGGCGTACAAGTGGTAGCGGCGTTGGCGGTGGTAGCAGCGGTGGTAGCCGTGAGACGACCGGGGTACACAGAGGGGTGGAGGTGAACCGGGACTCGTTCAACATCGTGAAGCAGCTCATGTTCCAGACTTCGAGGTTGGTTGGCCTTGTTGGTCGCGTTTGTTTTTGTTTTGTTTAAGCTAAATATTTGGTGTCCCCTATATTTGTAGTACGGTGGAGGGCGTTGGTCGAGAGATGCGCTGGAGCTTGCGCGAATGCATGGCCCAAAGTCAGCTCCTCGGAGGTTAGACGTAACATCTGTTGCGAAACAATACGAGCGACCCAAAATGTGTCTTTTTGGACCGCATCCATACCCCTAGGCTCTTTCTTCACGAAGGGATCGAAGCCTCAACGTTTTTACCCTCTCCACGGGCTTGATACTTCTCGACAACTGGAAGAGATTGGCGCCTTTACTACGTTTATTTAACACTTTTCTGCCGGCCCAACGATAGTTACTCCCCCATTTTGCGGGACCTCATCCGCCAAGATAAAGACTCATTGTCATGACTAGCAGGCATCACGCGGGCTGAAACTGCCCCATTCCGGCGGTGACTGACAACAATGGGGGACTGAATCTCGTCCAGACTGTCTCCCCACAGGGCCGGTTTCGCATACTTTCAACGAAACACCATCGGAAAGTCGGCATCTGGTCCCAACAACATCGTTCGGGTTGTGTTTTCGTAGTGCCCCTCCCTCCCCCCCCTCCCTCTTACCCTCAACGTTTTCCCCGAAATAGCACAAGCCGTAGTCGGTTCTAGCGAAGTATTGGGGTCCCCGTTCTTCCTTTCCCAGGGGGTTCACCCCGGGGTTATCGTGGTCCTTGGGGACCCACCCTCACCCATTGCAAGCCCATGACAATTAGCTCCACCTCAGACGTCAACAACTATTGTCAAATAATCCTCTTCCTCTCATCACGGCAACCATGTACTCTCTTGGAACGCCCCCCCGCCCCCCCCGGGGGCCGCCGAAAACCCGGCAAATCGCTTCTCCGTCCTGGCATTGTAGGGATGCGAGGTCAATGGTCTCCCGACTACGTGTCCATGAATACTTGTACCCCCCGCCCGCCCGCCCGCCCTCCGAAACGAAAGATCGCGCAAGCCGAGGACCATGGCCTTCAACCCGGTGGACCCGGGGCTTTTCGCCGTCTGCAGCGCCGACCTCTCCGTGGACCTTTGGCGGTACGGGAGGAACAAGCAGGAGCTGGAGAAAGTCTCGGAGCGGAACGATGTGACTCCGGTCGGGGGGGTGAGGCAGGCGCTCGCCGCGTTGCGGTTTCGGCTCCGGTTTCTCTGAATACACGCCGTAGGGGGGGAAACGTGTTTGGTGGTTGGTGATTCCGGTTGTTGGAGTAGTGTACACCCACGTGTTCTCTCATCCTTTGCCTTGTCAAGCCTCTGCACCGGTGGATCATTGAGTTGACGTGTAGGTGGGGTCCGACCGAAACGGGGTGAAGCTATACCGTAGCCCCCCCCCCCCCCCCCTTACT